TAACCAATTCTTCAATAATGTCTTCCTCTTTGGTTTTGTTAAGTTGTTGTACCTGTTGCTTTCCGTTGTGAAAAGGTCATCATACTCACGTGTTTGATGATTACATCCGCCACACATTCAATTCATTTTTTTCTTACAAACCAAATTTGGAATTCTAATCATGTGTGCTGTTCCCAAGGGGAGGATTTTATAATCCATGCATATCTGAAACAGATTATAAGAGAAAGTTGCATGCTATCAGGTGTTTTATTACAAAGCTCTGTCTTTATTCTGTCTGATGTATAGATCCTGAGACACACGTCAGACAAAGGGGTGTCATGAAATCATTATTTCGGATTCCCATACACTTAAAATTTTCGCAAAAAAAGAATGGTTCAAAATGATTTAGACGGACTAGAAAATGTGAATGACCTTATTATATTTTCAATGATTTTTTGACACTTTAAAAAAAAAAAAACGAACGGGGATTTACATATTCATGATTACCATTAGCATATGCACCTAGTTATGTAAATGTAAGTTGACTTGTTTTTTATCAGAGACAATTATCTTTCTCTTTCTTCTTTTAATGTATAATTTAAAAATTGCAAAGTGATCAAATCAAGAAATTCAATAATGCTTTAAAAATATATTTTTAGTCTTTTAAGGATTACATGTTACAACACAAGTTTTAGTCGTCTTCGAAGGAAAATAATGATAGGACACGAAGACATTTGGAGAAAATTACAAATAGTTCTTTTATGGATTTCTGTTCCCTCTGGTAAGTACTACAGTCGAGATTCTTAATCTGGGCAGTTGTGTCCAGGAGCAAATTGTCCACATTAATGAAGCTTCAGGGTTACTTAAATTTATTTGATTATATAAATAAATTCGAATGGTTCCACACACATGCCATATATATTTCGGTAAAGCGTTCAGATTACCGGAGACTGGATTTATAACTTAAAGCTTTAACTGAATTAATAAATCGTTTTAAGATATAATTAGTAATCCTTCAAAGAGGCGCGTTGGCGTTCTTATAGAATTTTTTGGCAAAAAAAAAATAGAAAGTGAAGGGCAGAATAAATATTCCCTACAATTTTTTTAATTAAGCAAGAGGGTAATTGGTATGAAAATAATCATTAATATGCAACAGGAACACTATTTTCTTATCAGAGGCAGAGTATATGTCTTCCATACCAAGCTTTATAAGTGAGTGGATCAACATGACAGCCGACTCGTCAACATCCGGGAAAACAGTCCCACATGGTCTCGGTGAGCTCCCTCTCCTGGTAGAGGTCGAAGCCAAAACCAATGAGGGGTGGATCTTTCCTGGCTTTGGATCCGCACAGACGGATGACGATGAAGGTGTCTTATATGGTGGCGTGGTGTTTATATATGACGACAAAGTTATAAATATATCTGTCCCAAAAAAGAACAACTTTGCGGGAAGCATGGATTGGACAGCGTTGTATACAGGTTTTATTATTTTAATTCTTGTTTTCAAAATATGTGCCACTTTTCAGTAAAACATTAAAAAGAATTATATTGATTATTACATTAACATTTTCAAGTTAGCTTTCAATCGTAGATTCAATCGTGCACTTGTAGATGTGAATAACGTTGTAATTAAAAGTAGTCGGCAAAATATGTTTTTAAAACCTTTTTATAAAATGTATAATCTTTTTTTTTTATTTTTATTGTTTTTTTTGTTTTTTTTTTTTTTGTTTGTTTGTTTGTTTTTTTTTTTTTGGATGATGATGAAGATTTCTATATATCAACCCAAAACCAATCGATATAAATGTTAAAATAAAAAGCAGAACTGTTTTAAATGGATGCGCTGAAACGGTGTCATCCAACGTTGTCACGGTTGTAATATTTAGGCTAAACAGTGTACTAAGGTATGGTCGAATGCTCGGGGTCTTGGAATTTCTTACATGAAAGCAGGCTTGTTAACGAAAACTGGTGAGAAACTGCGAGAAGGTTTTGTGGGTAAATAACCTAGACTTTCCAAAAATAAACGTGCTAAAAGGGTTGTAACCGCTAGCTGCTTGCAGAGAATGTCAACCATTTCTTTAATTTGCATATATTCATCATATGCTGACTTTTAAACCGATTTGCTCCATTAGATTGCTGACTGGCAACGTTAATTCTAAAACGAGTTAAACTATAATTGACAAACGAATTTATGAAACAGAAATATCAACTGTCTCTTTTACAGCGAAGACCTAGCAGTTTGCTTTAGCTCTATGTTTAAAGTCTTCATTTTGTAAGATCAACGGTCGATACAACGACCTTGTCGGAAAAAAAACAATCTATCATTAAGACAATTGCTGACTAACGTTATTTATACTAATTGTTAGGCCATCATTTACACATTGAATTATCTACGGTTTTTTCCGTTATTTCCCAATCATGACAAGGAACACATGGCGGGTGAGGACGGTTTGCGAGGGGGGCTCACTATTCCATTGCACCTAATCCTGCCTCTGTGTTTGGGGGTCTGTGTTTGATTTGCTCCTGGTTTGTGCTGTATTAGTAGACTTTTGGGCTTGGGTGCTGTTCGTTATCTCGGTATATTTCATTCCTTATATTCCAATAAAAAAAAGATTGTTAGGCAAAATCATTTCGAGACGTTGACCGTTTTATGGCTGGTCACAAAGTTTCAAACGAATTGTGCCAACTGAACATGAAGACGCAATTGCTTTTTTTTTTTTTAACTTTTTAACATATCTACATTACCCAAAAGGATCGCTTCTAGGTGTTAGTGCTTATTCTTCTTAGTACAATATACGACAAAACAACCCCCCGCCTCTGTTTTGGAGAGTGCGATACTGGGCTTAGGTAGACTCCAGCAACTTAGAAATGTCACTGAGTTTGACAGTGTCACTTAGTATACATCTTTAAATGTTAGAATTCGATAAGCTCATTGCGTGTCAGATCTAGTCAGAACGTTAATATCATTGTGAACCTTTGGAGGAAGCCGAGTGGGATTGGGTATTATTGGAATCTTTTATGTATTTTGGATCGAAGTGTTACATTCGCTATTGCCTGTTTTTATTGTCTTACACACTAGTTATTTCAATTACACTTGGAAAAGCAAAATCCTTTTTTTTTTATTTTGATAAACCTTCACATAAATAACATCTTGCAGGAAATCAAGAGAAGTGGATTGGGCCTGCTCAGATAGGAAGAACTTACATTTCCGTTCTGGTTCGAGCAAAAGCCTGGCGATCTCTTGACTTTCCTTCGCCTTCTTTTGAGAGTGAGACATTTACCGTAGTGGCAGGTAACAAAATGTTAAAAATCTTGATTAATATTAACCTCTCAGAAAAAAGATATATATTTCGTAATAAAAAATCTCTGTGTACACTAATGAACTTTTATAGGTGAATGCGTTAATACGACGGTGCAACATTCAATGGGAACATACCCCGACCTAGTGGTGGTTCAAATTCAGACTCCTGTAGGAACATTTCAAGGTCAAGGTAACCAAGACTTTGCCGATTTTTTCTCTTAATGACTAAAGAATATTATAATAATTGATAGGTAAGTAATATTTCGGCTCTAATTAAAAAAAAAACATAACAGATATGACTTTCTTAAATGGTGGAATACATGCAAGACGAATTGTTTCCAATGGGAATGAACAAAATTTAGTATATATGTTTTGGCAAATACAATTTTAAAAAAATAACATACTTTGAGTGCAGCTTTTATATATTTGTTTAATTTGATTTTTATATGAAGGTGTGTCTTCTCGGCCTATGGCTTTTCCCTTCTTACGTTTAGGAGGACTGCTATTTGGATTTAACGACTCTCACGTGCAGATGTGGTCAGCGTGCAACATAAATGGAATGTTAAAACGTATGTATTATTCTAAATTTCGTTTTTTGTAAAAACGGTATCCATACTTCTTGTTCTTCAGTTCTTGATTTTTATTTCAAAAGTGATCAATTAAGTTACTTCACGATCGATCTCCTAACTGTAAATAAATGTAATTCTCTCACCAGACCTAGGGTTATTGTGCGTTTCTGACGGCTGGGGACTCAGGGCATTTTTCAGCAACACAGGATCTATAACCATAAAGGCTTGGGATTTTGGTACAAGCATAGAGAGATATAAAATTTCAGATCTCGACATCAGTGCTTATATTTTACCATACCCATACACTACTACAGCAAGTCACGTTCTTTCTGTTCAGGTAAAAATATATATTGCTATCAATTATCAAATAATTTATTAATATTTTCGAAATTTTTATTGAAGAAAAAATCACTTTTTATATATTGTTTTAACACAATTGTTGATTGATTGATTGATTGATTGATTATATGTTGTTTAACGTCCCTCTCGAGATTTTTTCACTCATATGGAGACACCACCATTTGCCGATGGAGAGCTGCAAATTTTGTCCTATACTCGTCACTCAGGGCCATAAAGCATTGAGGGGTCTTTTACGTGCCAGAACCTACTGCGACACGGTACCTCGGTTTATACAGTCTCATTCGAAGATCCGGTCTCCATGTCCCACAATTTTGAAAATAAATAATTAGTTCTCCAGTTTTGGAGAGATCAGGGCTATATATACAATAAAGTGTACATAATTTAATGAACATTTATAATTTGGCTTAAACATTGAGATGCAAAAAATAGATTAGAGAGGAAAGATAATACAGCTGGAAAACACACTCATTAATTAATATTTTGCAAATATTATTTTAACCATGTTGGATGCATTTATAATTAAAGAGACTTGGTTTAAAATACAGCTGTAAAGACTTTACTACCGAGTGTGTAAAAGAAGCATTTCCTCTCTCGCCACCTTTAATACTTTTTTCTGTTAAAATTCAACTTAAATCCAGCCTCTAACCCTTTCGTCGTTGAATGTGTTAAGTACATGTACCAAAAAACGAAGTCAGAAGACAAATAGGTTTCATCAGTTTGTTCTGAAATAATCTGAATACTACTGGCTGTAGAACTGTAACCCTCTGCTTGAGGAAATTCGGACAGATAAAGCAAGAGAGCTACAGATCCAAGCTTGTAAAAACCTTCGATTTACACCGCCAATTTTTTTGTCGCTCACTTCGAGTAAAATTTTTGGTATTTTATGTTTTCTTCGGCTTGATATATGGTATCCAATCATCAACCCTTTTATCTCCTATTCCTGATATTTTATTTACCTTTCAATGGTTCCAAAAGGCTGCTTTTGGTAAGCGATATTAAATGGAATGTTTTAAACCAAATTCAAAAATCATAAAGGACTGCTTCGGACCGTTGAAATGTAAATAAACTAATAAAATATCAATAACAGAAGTAAAATATACGAGTAATTATTTGATTCCACTCTTAAAGCGAAGGAAAGCATAAATTACCAGAAATAATACTGAAGTGAGCGACAAAAAATCGGCGGAGTAAATCGAAGGATTTTGCAATGCTTGGATCTGTAGCTCTCTTGCTTTATCTGTTCGAATTTTCTCAAGAAGAGAGCTACAGTTCTGCAGCTAGAGTACTACGTGCATTGTTTTAATTAAGGAAATATTTAAAATTTACGAAAACACATGGTCTAATACCTTTAGAGTAATACTTGTTAACAAATTTCTCCTTCTCCGTTATACAGATGGAAGTGCGGGACGGTCCTAACAAAAATTTTCGGTTTGACGGTGTGGGTTCTGTAATGACCGAGTCTGCTCTTTATGGAGGACTGGTTTATGGATATAATGATACATCAGTGGCTTTCTGGATTCCCCACCCATACAGGAGAAGAATGAAGGAAGCTGCAATATCTATGATGGGGGAAATGTGGGGATGGGGCTATAGGAAACAAATCACTGACAATGTGGATATCTTAATCAGCGTTCACGATATAGCGGGTTAGTTTATTTCTATAATATTAATTTCGTGCTGCAATATACATGTATTGTAATTTCGTGCTACAGTATGTTGTTTCTGATCAAGTGAAAAGTACCATTTTTAGCAATAATGTTATCTTTTTTACACCATAGTGCCGATTTGCGTTTATAGACCAGACATTAATATCGAAGTATCAGTTATCAAGAAGTACAAAAAATATAATGAATCAATCTACGCTCTTGGCGATGAGATTCATCTACAATGCATGCCGGGATATCGTTACTTGTCAGGAAACACAACACTGACGTGTAATGATGCTGGGCACTGGAATGGCGAAATGCTTATATGTGAAGGTGATTTTTATGAATAATTAGGAATTTGAATTTAATTTCTCGGTTAAAATTGTTCTGCGACAGCAAAAAATAATAATTATTTATTTATATTTTGTCGTGAACAATATTATTTGCATTTTATTTACATATACTTCTTTTAAAGTTATAACGTGCACAGAGACCAATAACAGCAATGTTGAAATTCTTTACCAAAACTTGAGCATTGGAGGAACCGCGAATTACAAATGTATCCCCGGAAGTTATTACGAAGAGGGGAACCTTAATCGAACATGTACCATAGAAGGAGAATGGAATGGCGACCCGCCAGTTTGTAAACGTAAGACAAATATGCATGCTAATGAAAGACCTAAAAACATATTTTTTTTCAATTTTTGAATGACTTCTTTTTTTAATTTTTAAGACGTCATTCTTATGTTTATGGGTAAAATATATCAAATAAAAGGTTGATATCTATCTTACCCTAATAATCATACACAAATAATGACTTTTCAAAATATCGGCATCTTCAATCCCTCAGTGAGTTTGAAGCTGAACATGACACGTAATTTATAGACATACGCCCTTTTCAATATTAATGTACTATATAAATATTGCACTATATTCGAGGGGTGAAAATTTTCAATGTTACACTAAACTACATGCAATATCTATTATATTATACTGAATGTTTTATACAAATACATATAACAGTGAACCGTGAGCGCATAAATTCTGCACAGTCGCTATATGTTTTTAATATCACCCGTCGTCAAGCAATGTTGACTGTTGCTACGCTGGAAGGCGTGGCTTCATTATTCAGCGGGTAATAGTGTTTTTCAACAAATGTTTCTCGACCAATCAGATTCAACTAATTTACATGAAAGTATAATATATGTAGTTATCACATTTGTTACACGTGACTGTTTTATTATCACGCGTGGGAGTGCGACCCGTGTTCGTGCTGGTCATCTTTTTTTTCCTTTGTTTACATTTTATTTCAATTACGTGTATTTTTTTTAGTTTGTACACTGCACTGACCTGTGCAATTCTTGTTAGTTTCTTTGGTATTTTACTCATCTGCATTAGAAATTGCCGCATATATTGTCGAAACAAATCGTGATGTTACATTCTTCTCGATTAGCGCAGCCAAAGTGCAAAAGTGGGATGTGCGTAATTTGATTAAATCGCAACACAGTTATATTAGAGAATTTGACGCGCTCTCTTTCGTCAAGAACCTGGCCTAAATTCTAAACACATGTATAACTTTTGAGTCAGTTTTGTTTTAAAGTAATTTCCTATCTTACGTCAAGAATATTTTGTGAATACAATTAAAAATATGAAGAAAACAAACAGTATTCAAGCTCAAAAGTCCATTAAAACAATGCACATTTTGGAGCAGAGCAAACAGTGCCCTCTAAAAGTTCAGAGGTGTGATCAGGTGCCGTGGAGGAGTGCATCCCCTGTCGACCGGTCACACCCGCCGTGTGCTCCTTGTCATGACTGGGAAATAAAGGGGAAAATCCCTCGACAATTCATTGTGTATATAATGGCCTTACAATTAGTATTAAAAACCTCATTCAGCATGTGACTTAATGATAAATTGTATTTGCTGACAAGGTCAATTTATCGACCATAGAACTTACGAAATATTGACTTTAAACGAGACTGCTGATATTCTTGTCTCAGCAACTTATTTAAATTGTAAATAATTTAACTCGTTTTAATAATTGTTCATACATAGTGTATGAATTTGCCTATCGAATCAAATGAGAGATATGAACCCTGTATGCAGGTGATGGAGGTATATTGCTGCATAAGTAAGGGAAGATGACGACTAGAAAGTAGTCATCTCGTTTGTCATATTAAAGCTTAGTTCTTATATTACAATTAACGTCTTTCCCAATTTGAATATCTAAATATCTAAAGATTATTAAAAGAAGTGACATTTTTTACAGAGTGCACGTGTCCTTGCGGCATGATCGGTTCTATGCCCATCAAGGAATATGAAATAGATAAACTACATCAAAGATTAGAGGAGTTAAAATTGAACCTGAGGATTTTAAAGAATACCACGTCAAGAGCCATCAGGAATAGGATCAGTGCTACCGATGTCCGACCCTCGGCAGTGGGGGTGGGGACGGTTCTCGGGGCAGGGATTTTGGTGGCTGTTTTTGGGAGCATAGGTATCAGTGATCTCCCAAGGTTGTGGTCAATCCTATTTCGCCGAGGAAAAATCTAACAGTAATATCTTGTGTTTGACACATACTGGGGCTGTTCAATAAATAATTCAATGAATAAAGAAACAAAAAACGCTTTTAAATGATTTTAGTCTAAATGATTTCACTTAAACAATCTCTTTTAATTAAAACACCTGTCCGTAACATTTTTGTCCAATACTGATTGTTTTAGAGCACATTTTTGAGTATGGCCCTTCGTATATTGGAATATGACAGATCCTATGATTTCCTGGAGTTGTTTTTTTTTTTTTCTGAAAGGTTTTTTTTTTTCCAAGTTTGGAAAATGAAACAAGTCAAAGGGCGAAAGATATGGCGAATATTGTTGGTGTGACAAAACATTATCTTTCTGTCCATTTTCAAAACGTAGGGCGACCATCGAGTATAAAGCTTTTTTACTATAAACTGTTTCTTTAAAACAATTTGAACAAACAACCAACAACCAACCCTCCAAAATAAAAAATGATGACTATCAAATTTGCTCTGTGTTTTAATCAAACATCATTGATAATTTGCTGAATTTAGGAAACAGAACATTGGTTGTTGTAAGTCCTTGTCGCCAAGGACGGTCCCCATTTTTGATGCCCATTATATCGTTTCTGTTCATTGAAATCCATCTCTCATGTGTTTTTTTTAAAACAGATAATGGTTGCTGTAAATTTCACATATTTCAGTGAATAATTCTTTGGGATTCTTACCAAGGTATCAGCAGCGTTAATGAAGCGTTTAATAATATTTTACTGATTCTTTACCATTCATTTTCAATGCAGTGACTCGAATACGAGCTCTACTGTTTACCAGCTTCTCACAATTAAACTGTGTGATGAAAAGTGGTCACATAAACTGTTATCAATCCAATGAATCCATTGAATATTAAATCATGAGAGAAAGTCAAGCTTAATGTCATATGATTTCTATGTTGTATATCGTAGAGCTCAGAACATTATTTATTGAACAGCCCTCATATTTCGATTTTTTTTAATTGCAAAATCTGAACATTGCCGTACTTTCTATATTATGAAGGTAGCCACTTATTAAATATTTACAACTCCCTTACCACGGAAAAAAATATTTCCATACAATTTATATTGCATAAAGTCATTGTGCACCTCTTTATTATGTTTTGATGGGAAAAAATTGATTTTTCCCATAGCAAGAAAGTGACTTATGTTCTCGGGGAAGTTTCTCATTTTTTTTAGCTCTTTGCTCAGATTTGTTTTTCCGTATCTTGCTGCTTGTTGCTTCTCCTTCTCCGGGTTATCTTTAGCATCCTTATCGCCGAAATGTATAGATAGTGATTTCTCTCAGTTTAACAAGAATTTCTTCTTTCAATAAATCGGAAAGAATAATTTATTTGAACTTGTGAATATATGACAATTTAATTTAAGGAAATAATAAAATAAAAGCATATACAGTCATGCACAAAGATCAACAAGGAAAATTACATTTTGAAGTTTTCAGCTCCATCGAAAAAAATTAATTTTGATAATTTCTTCTTACAATCTTACCTTCTTTGATGTAATCAGACGAATTCGCATTCTACATTTAATGATTCTATTTTTATTTTAAATATTAGATTGTCTTATTACTTATTTCAGTGAATTTAAATTGATATCAACTCTCTTTTTCTAAGGCATTCAAAAAATTATTTGCTTTCCCTCTCCCGAACTTGCAAAAATGACTCGACTAAAAACTTTTTGACGTTGCGCACGCTGTTGGTACTATAATATCTAACTCTTTATGTCGCAAAGAAATTGGCGGTTTCACGATGTCATATTAACTTTAAATTAAAAATGAAATTATTTATGTTATCCAAAGTAATAAATAATTCTTAAATTTTTCTTTAAAATAGCATTAAAATATTTTACGTATTCAGTATTGGTCATATACGGCGAAATTTCCGTGTCCGACGTTACATCAATTATTGTTCGCGCAACTACAAGCTATGAAAAAATGCACTTACAATTCTCTGAATTAAATGAAATTTAGGGGGCACAATAGAAAATATGCATTCTTTAAGATATTGTTGAGTTTTTAACATCATTTTATCAATTTCATGAATTTTGACTGGATCTACAGTGCGTAAGTAAAATGTCTAACAGTAAAAAATCGTTTCCTTTCATTAACATTAGCCGAAATGGCGATGTGTACCAGACATAAATTCCAAACAAATATTAATTTTGGTGAATAATCTTTTAGTACATATATTTCTAAGATTAATTGAATTGATATATTTTATATTACTTTTCCAACGTAAATATTAGGAAAGCTTTCTTAACTGTAGCCATTTTGTTATATGGACGCACGAGTCACTGTATTGTTACTTAATATGCCTCAGTCACATATCAAAAATGTATAAACTAATGTAAGATATATAGTAATCATTTATGTAGATTAAAAGAACATTAAATGCTGCATTAACTAAATACATAATTTTTACAGTAATGGACTACAGGAAATCAATGCAAGCATCAATAAAAGTGTAGCCATTTTGTCACAGGTACGAAAAACGTCATTTTACACATTGCGTACATATGACGTTGGGGGCGTCAAATTATTATCGCCGTGGCTTTTTTTCCTGCAGGTCCGTAGTACCAGCTCACAGGTACTTGTGGACATGCAGGAACCACCCCCATGCACCCCACCCCCGATATTCAACCCTGGAGCTTGTTGGACATTTTTTCACAAATTACATTCATTACACTTAATCATCATGTGTACATGTACCATAGGAAAAAATCATGAAAACCCCAAAGTGATATCGTTCCACTGAAAAATATCCTCCAAACGAAGTATGCATTATAAGACCCCCCCTCCTTCTTTTACCAAAAACAGTAAAAAGATTTTAGAATTTTAGTGATAAACCAGATTTTCAATAATGGTGAAACGTCTCTTTCCTTCCTTTTTTCATCCCCTCATTATACTAAATTGATACTTGAGCCTGAAGATGATTTTTATTTGTGTTCCATAGTATTCAAGACTAGTCTGTACAGCAGCCTACTACATGTACTTAAGCTGACAAAAGGAAGAAAATTTCAATTTAATCTAAGACAGATAAGATTAGACAGCGATTACCTATCATAAAAGAACCGATTCATATCACAATGACACATCAGCACAGAAATCGTAATCAAAAAATCTAGTCGTGTACTCAGCATATAATTTTTTATTTAAAATGACACCAGTTCCATTGAAACGTAGGAAGTATAAAAATTTTAACTCTCGGTTTCTTCTCTAAACACCCAAAGCGCATGCAGACCTATATAGAAATAAAAGACTTGTAATGACCTAACTGAAAAAAAAATTGAAGGAGGCTGAAAGGGAATACTACTTATGTATTTTCTTTGTAAGACAGACAAGTGAGAAAAATAAAAAGAGGAATAACGGATATTCACTGAGTGTCTTTGACATTTTAGCAATTAAAATTTTACAATTTATTAATAAGATTTCAAAACGAAGGTTCAAACATTGAAAATTATGTGCCCTTTTATAATTTTTTATTTATTTTTAAAAAATTAAATTCATTTAAAGATCTAAAGATCTAAAATATGCATGTATATGGTTCAAAACGTTATAACAACGTTATGACTTTTTAACGTTATTTTGACGTAACGTCAATGTGTACCAACACCGTGCGCAACGTCTTTTCCCTACAGAAAGCAATCATTTTTGCATTCTAGAAAGTATATTTTGAAATCTTAGCATTAAAACTGAAAATTTCCTTGAGAAAAACAATTGCCTCACCTACCTACCGATCCAATTTATTTATTCTGAGTCGGGATGGGTCAAACAAATATTTTTAATTGAGCTGACTTCAGCGAAACATTTATTTCGAACAATGTAAAATGTAATGCGCTAAATGTTAAAGTACATATCCAAAATAAATGTATATGATATATACATATTGTACCTCAGTTGTGGGCAACTCACAGAAAAAAAATACATGTAAATGTTTTTCTGCTTCGAAAAAAACGTGAATATTTTTATTTATGTTAACAATTAAAGATTTAAAAAATTTTAAAAATCTTTGTTGTATTATGAACGTAGTCCCTTGGAGTGAAAGTAACAGTAAGGTCAACTGAAGGTCACTGCATTTTCACTTTGCTGTACATATGATCATCATCCACCATGCCGGGATCCAATAGCTTATAAAATAATGATATACATTTAATTTTAATACCGTTCAAAAATGTAGAAAACCTGGCTAGTTAAATGTAGGTAAATGTAGTGTAGAAAGCAGGAAAATTGATACCGAAAGAAGTAGCCCCCCCCCCCAATTTTGGGCAACAACTTTTTCAGGTAAGTCAAAAAAAAATTCTCTGGCTGCACCCCCCTTTCAAAAACGATGCTACGTGGTAGGCTGAGATGGATTGAAAATGAATTCCAAACTCGAATTTCAATCCAATGTTTTCCCCACGTCCGCGTCGAATTGTACATGCCCATTTCATTGTCTAACATTCAATGTTTTGATTGTAATACTAAGTAGATAGAAATGAAGTAAGCTGTACCTTTCCAATTTTGCCAGTTAATGTTCCGCAGTATTAATTGGTAAAACATGTGATTAATAAAACAAAACATTTAATTGGAAAGAAAGATTTCACTGAAAGATGATAATATGCTTGAAAAGAAAAAACACTTGCTGTGGCCTTCAACTCGACATTTAGATATATCGACGACGTATTGTGAATTAACAATGGTAATTTCCATTCTTACGTCGATACGATATAGCTGGTGAGCTTGAGAGAAAAGATACCACAGAGTTTGACACATCTGTTTCATACTTAGATATTTTACTTGAAAAGACGTCAATGGTAATCTAACAACCAAGCTCTGTGATAAACGTGATGAATTTAACTTTTCTATCGTCAACTTCCCTTACTTATGCAGTAATATACCTTCATCACCTGCATACGGAGTATATATATCTCAGCTGATTCGATACGCAAGAGCATGCTCTACGTATTAACAATTTCTAAAACGAGGAAAATTATTGACAAGCAAGTTGATGAAAC